ACAAAAGTGGGTACTAAACAAAGATTTGGTATGTCTTAGAATGCTATTGAACATTTCAATATATATCTCCCAAAGAGAAAGAGAGCAGATCTCACATGATATGACTTCACTAATCATCTAAGAATCACTATTAGGAGAGAAGTTTCTTTTCCCTTCTCTATTGCTGTATTTCATGTCAAGAAACACTACAAGAAGCAGATGGTATGATCTTTGACCTGAAAGAAGGTTATAGTATAGTTGGGAAGATCACACCACCACCGATGAAAGACTTTTACCCCTATGAAGTTCTGAAACACTGCAAAATCAGCCACAAGTGAAAATAGGAACCATTGAATTGCAGTGGTCAAGAAATACAAAGATGGAAAACTGGATCACAAAGCACCTGACCACTAAAAGGTAAATTTCATGGACTGCTGTCTCTGGGGGTCTTCAGTGAATATTTAGACAGGAATAAAGTGGGTATTCAATATTAAGTAGGGCTCTCACAAGCAGAGAGGCGAGAAAGTACAAAGCATTTCTTACATGTGGGACAGGAAGACAAACATGCCAAATATACCAAGAACTCCAGACGAACTCAGAGGATTGTAACAGTCGTATTGGACACAAAGCAATATATCATCTGCTTTAAACAATGAATTATTGAATTTTAAATAGTTATAACCACCATATTCCATGTTTCTATCTAACCAGCTTTGTCACTCATCTACATTTAATTCCTTGGCTTTGTGAGGTCACAATGTTTTGAACCCCTGTGCATCCAATTCCTCTGCCATTTGAAGCCCATCACCCCATTTCCAAGCAGGCCTGTTTCTTAGGGCACTGCTCTCATACCACATGTTCCACAAATCCTTCCCCTTCTTTTCCAGACAGAGTTTAATCCTTCCATTACTTGGTCCTCAAATTACTTTATTCATTCCTCTTTTAGGGTACTTATATTGTTTTACTTTCTTTAGGTATCTGAATTGATCACCTTCAATGTTTCTTAAGGATAGAGTCTAGAGGGGTCTAATGTTTTTCTCTATATGGCCCGGCACTCAACACATAACAGACATTCAGTCAAATGTTTATTGAATGAATTAATTTATTGCATGTTTCCTTATTTAGGCACCTCTCAGCTACATAATAAATGACAAATAAATTCAGTAAACCTCACAGAGTTTGTAGAAATTCTCATCTTTGGGCCTTTTCTTGTGCTGACCTTTGCCAATACCAAGTAGTTAACAATAAAAAGGAAAACATCTTTAGGGTAATTAGTGAAACCCAAGTAAACATCTTTTTAGTGATTAACCTTATTGTAAGAAAATCTCAAATACTCGAAGAGTGTATTGAAAAGAAATACGGATGACTTTCTCAAATATTAAGGAAGTTTTTCACAGAACTGGATAATGGTCTCTCTATTCAAGGCTGGATTATGATGCTACTGAAGAATCCTCATACTTTGGGTATCAAATGTGCAGGTGAAAAGACTGACATTATTTTGAAAGTGAAGAAATTAAATGTAATTTCTTATGGTGTAATAAAGGTTTCTTTCTGTAGGAAACATGTTTTAAGCCTGTTCAAGAGCTTAAGTAAATCTCAGCTGACTAGGTTTGCAAAATTAAGCATTACAGAAATCATTTTAGGCCAGAAAAATGTAAACATAGTTTATTACCAGTTTGTACCTTCTCCATAGAAGAATCTTAAAATCATTCTTGAGGAATGTCTGATTTTTCACTAAAAAATCAGATGGTGAGGAGTCTGACGGGATAAAGCTGGGTCCAGAATATAGAAGGCCGTGAATGCCAATCTAAGGGATTTGAACTTTATTCGGTATTCAACAGCAGCCACTAAAAATTTTCCAGCAGAAAAATGAAAACTGACTTGGTTTTTGTGGCAGTGATATGAGGAACCGAGACACCTAAAGTTGGGTAAGATCAAGTGTGGAGTGTGAGGTATCTTTTACTAGAGTGATGGCCATGAATACATTTACTAGAGTGATGTAACTGTTATTTAAAGAATGGAGGGAGTTGGCTCAGCGCCTGTAGCTCAGCGGCTAGGGCATCAGCCACATACATCAGAGCTAGCGGGTTCAAATCCAGCCTGAGCCTGCCAAACAATGACAACTACAACAAAAAAATAGACAACGCTGTGGCAGGTGCCTGTAGCCCCAGCTACTTGGGAGGCTGAGGCAAGAGAATCACTTAAGCCCAACAGTTTGAGGTTGCTGCAAGCTGTGATGCCATGGCACTCTACTGAGGGTGACAAAATGGGACGCTGTCTCAAAAACAAAGAATGGAGGGAGTCAAGCTGGTGATCCTTTAGGTGGCGGGAATCCCTGGCTAAAATGGGAGAAGGCAGCTGTCCCTGATTAAACAGAGCCCAAACTAGAACTCTGACCTGAGGATTTCCCATCCAGTTCTCTTCCCTTTATAGCCATTGCCTGATTTGGATGTTAAAGCTGATCTGAAAGACTGTAAGCCTCAGGAGGCAACCCGATGTGACAGTAACACTCAGTTACATCACTTTCATGATTTCTCCTTAGATCACAGTTATAATTATAGCCCTCAGGCTAACTAGCTTTGTGATCTTGAGCAAATCATTTGCCTTCGACACCTTTTATGCTTTTATTTCAATTTATTTCCTTAATTAATATTGCACATTTATATTTCTTGTCTCCCACAATAAACTAGCTTCTTTGAGGGTAGACACACACTATCTGAATCTTTTTCCACTGGTTATCTTTGATACATAAGAAGTTTCTCTGGATAAGGGTGTTGACTTAATGAATGTAAAAGTGAGACCCACCTGTTATAAACAAAATAAAGTGTTAATAAAATAAAGTGTTAACAGAACCTGAACTTTTTATATTGATTTAGGCTCCAGGGGACACTCCTCTTCTGCCTGTTATTAGGCTTATGATTACTTGATAACATTAGCTAACATCAGTAAGTGCCTACTAGCCACGGCCAATCAAGAATATTTCCTGATTCACAGGAGAACCTTTTCCTCAGGCTTTTTTTCATCCTTCCTAGCCAGTTTTCATGTAGCAGCAATGAGGGGCAGAAGGGACCCTGAAAAACACCTTTCATTTTTAAAGTTAACACAAAGAATTGTTTGGCTTCTGTACTTTCACAGGTGAAGAATATTGTATACAATATATTTATATTACAGGTTTCCTCAATCCTTGGGATTGATGTTAATAGTATCTAGCCTCATGCTGTGCAAAGTGTTTCAGAGTAGGCAGGCAGCCCACAAGAAGCAAGTTTTGGGGATCATAGTATTCTCCCTTTACAGTACTCAGTTTCAGTTTAACCTCAAAGAAACTCTGGCCAGTTCCAGCACACTCCTTTTAAGCCAGCAGGAGAAAAGCAGAACTAAAGAGGGAAGAGAGATGTCATAGGACAAGGGAGTATAATCTATGACTAATAAAAATGGAGGTGACTTTTTTTTAATGTGGTTTGCAAAATGTCTTTGCTGGCAATTTGAAAAGTTTTTAAAAGGGCCTAAGTGATACTAGCATCACCAAAGTGCATGGCATCATTTTAAAATGATTCCCAAGGGCATCATTTTAAAGGATAATAATTTGATTCTATATGATAAATTTGTTTTAAAAAGCATTAAAGTTTATTTTTAAATTATATTAAAAGCATTGTTTAAACAATGGTTATAAGCAAGGAATATGAGAACATTTGTAGGATGTGTGGGTGGGTGTGGGTGGAACACTTTTAATTTCATAATCTAAGGACCAAGTTCAGCACTACGTACTTCTGCTTCTCAGGCACCACTGAAAACTTTGAGGCTGCTGAACACTTGGTGAGGAATCAGAGGTTTTGAAAAAGGGTACAACTGAGTTGGCACATATAGTTTCAAAGCTTATGTGGGTAAAGGTTAAGATGGGATAACCAATCTTAATTTTATGTAGAGGCAGCACAGTATGAGAGAGACAACACTTTTAGTAGCTCAAGAGACCTACTTAACATCCTGGCTTCACCCCTTTGTAGTCAAATAACCCCCTCAAATTATTTAATTCCACCAAGGCTCAGTTACCTTATAACATACTGGAGGAAGTGTCTGGCAAACAGAAGGTATTTACTAAATATCAGATCCTCTGTGAGAGTGTTTTTTTCAAACTAAGGGTCACAACCCACTGGTAGATTATTCAATCAATTCAGTGGGTTTTGCAACTGGCATATTTAAAAAACTAAGACAGGATGCTAACTAAAGCATGCGAATGCAACACACGCAGTGGTGTCCACTGCTTCATCACTACACTGAAGTTTGATTTCAATGCATTTCTACTGTGAGTTACAGCCAAAAAGCTTCCAAGTCTCTGTTCCACAGAGAAGCTTGCAGATTATGTTTCAAAGGACCTTTTACCAAATGAGCTCCTATATAATACCTTAACCAGTTCCTTTCCTTTCTAACTTCTTAGAGCAAAATAAGACATGAATCGGAAGATAAATTTAATCTAATACTGTAGGACATTAAATCCAATTTTAAGATTGGTTTCTGTCATAATGACTATACTTACAAATTTTGTATTTCATTTATAGTTGATTAAACACTTCTAAAAATTTCTACAAAAAAGTTAACTATTACAGACAGTGCCTGTGGCTCAAAGGAGTAGGGCACAGGCCCCATATACTGGAGGTGGTGGGTTCAAACCCAGCCCCAGCCAAAAACTGAAAAAAAAAAAATTAACTATTAGGTTCTGTTATGAGAAAAGAGATACAATTTCTAAATAATCTTAAATTATAAACCTTTTATTTTCAGAGACAGAGTCTTCCTCTGTTGTCCCAGCTGGAGTGCAGTGGCATCATCATAGCTCACTGTAGCCTCAAACTCCAGGGCTCAAGCCATCCTTCCACCTCAGCCTTCAAGTAGCTGGGACCATAGGAACACACCATGCCTGGGTAACTTTTCTATTGTTTGTAGAGACAGGGTCTGGTTCTTGCTCAGGCTGGTCTCAAACTCCTGAGCTAAAGTGATCTGTCTGCCTCAGCTTTCCAGAGTGCTACAATTATGGGCATGAGCCACTGTGACTAGCCAAGTTATAAAACTTTTTAAAAGGACTACAACTTGCCTAAGTCTGAAGAGTGCTAAAGTAATATTCCAATCCTGATGAGCAGTATGAATTAAAGATTTATAAGAATACACAGTGGTGTTCCAAACTGACTTAGTAAAAAATGAGATCGCTCCAAAACATGAACCTCAAATATAGGCCTCTCTCCCCTTCAGGTCCTTATGTAAACCAGCCTTACGTTACGAGTCCCCAGTGCTGCTGCTAAGATAATGGGCCGAAACAGTAGCCAACTTGGGGTTGGTATAGTGGGCTAACATGCAGTAATGAAGAAGGGTAAAACATGGGAAATTATAGAATTCAATGATGAATCTTGATGTAACTTAAAATTTATTTTCAGCTGACTAGACTAGTATCAGAATCACCCTAGAACTCAGGTTTAGGGATCCTGTTTTATATAAGCAACTGAGTAAGTTCTGATTCTCTCTAGGTTTGAACACCCCGTTAAAAGGACAATAAGGACAAAAAATGAAAAAAGATGTTCAAAAACAATTATCCCAGTATAAGACATCCAAGATACTAGATCAGAATCTGGCACTTATTCAAAGTATTTTCTTCTTGGTATTACATTAAAGATATAAATTAGCAGAGAGAAATACCTGGTACTTCCTAGTTAGTTAATAACAAATGTGCTTTGTCTCATTGGAATTCATTGGTAAGATTCGAAAAGTATGAAAGAGAAATGTCTCTTTAGATTAGACATAGAAGTGAAAAGTGGCAATCAATAAGTTATTAAAAGTAAACACAGCAAGGGAAAAGCTAAGTGATAAATGATTCAAGCCCCAGATGAACCTTGGCTCCTGGCAGAGACAGTTCACACCTTCTGGGGTGAAGGTGCCAATTCCTGTCCTCAGAAAAGAGTAAAGAGTAAGGCAAAAGGTGCTTCCTTCCTATTTCAAATGAGTTGGGATACAGAGGGAGGCTGCCTGTATTCTTGGAGATTCTTTTTTCCTAAACTTAAAGTCTTTTCCCCCAGATTGAGATAGATGAAGGGTTGGACTGGACCAGGCTTGGTGTCAACATTGAATGTTGGGATTAGCACCACAAACCCTTCACTGGGTCTGAGTCTTGGCATGGGGCTTTGTCCATCTAGAAGGTGAGAAAAGGTAAGTATGAATGCCATTCTTGGGAAGAAATAGCAGCTGCGAAAAGCAAAAGTGAAGCACGGGAGATAAAAAGCCTGGGGAAAAGGATGGTAGAAACAGAAATGAGGTAGATAGCTAGTTCCTAGCTCTCCTAAAGACTATAGGGCATCAGAGACACCCCTATACAGCAGATAACCACCCCTCAAAATTGGAAGATGCCCCAGGAAATGATCTCTTGTCTCACCCACACCATTTGAACCCAAACTCTAATAATGCTGGAAATATTTGAAATTTTCTTTCTTTTTAACCTAGAGGTTACAGGAAAGAACAGAGATGGGAAATAAGACAAAAAAGACTATGAGAAAAGTCCTTATTACATATGAATAGAATTCACCCCACAAACCAAAGAATTTTTCAAAATTACAAGGGAGGGGCAACAAAGGGCTCTAGATCTTTGAGGTGTCAGGAGACTGGTTGACATAGCAAGTTTGGTGACTTGGCCTAATAAGTCTCCTACCACTTAAAATTCTGTGTTCTGTAATTAAAGAGAGGCAGAGGAAGAATTCAGAAAAGCAGCCACCACTGTCACAAATGAAGAAACATGAAAGAAGTTGAGTCTCTGTTTCCTTACTGTATTAATGTCCTCCACCAGAAAATATAGTTGGATCAAATCGCAATAGGGTTCACCTGTGCTTCTCACAAGCTCCTGATTTCCCTACTTGATAGCAAAGGATCTTGAACTCCCATTCTTTTTCCTTGCCAACAGGCCTAAATCATCTATGAATTCACCTTAAGGAATAGAATTCACCAATTCTATTCCTCCACAACCCAACACTTCTACACATTTCAAGACCTTATCTGGTTCAGTTCTCACCTTTCCAGACAGAAAATTTGCTCCTTGGCAGTCTTCAAACTTTACCTGACAGACATTATAAGTCTTCGGCCCAGTTTCTTAATCTCTAACATCTCCATTAACAATCCAGCAAACAACAAAATAGATCCACTTATCACAGTTCAATCCCACTTGAGCATTTACAGCCACTGTTATCTTGATATACTCATGTTCCAAAAGCTGACTGAGTGTCCAACAGCAGCAAAGGTCCTTATTAGGATAGACATGTTGGCACCAATAATACCAAAGTTTGGTTTTTAGCTACATTTTTTGTCAGTTTGGCTGGGAAGATCTGGACAGCTGGAAGTGAGCTTCTCCATCATTTTCTGTTTCCTTCTTTGTATCAGTTTTCCACCTGTGAAGCCCAACACCCCACCACCAAGTGCAGCTGCAATTCCTGCCACTTTGAAGCCTGCAAGGAGGCCAATGGGACCCCCCACTGCTCCTCCGATGAGTGCACCTGCCACAGGCAGAGCTGCCAGCTTGTATTTTGCAGCCTGTAGAAAAAAAAAAGAAAAGAAAAAAATTCAATTTAGAAATTGAGTTGAGAATATCTGCCTGTGGTGATGTGCATTTTCCTCTCATTACTCCTGGCAATGCCTCTTTAACTCTTGGTACGTAATTAACCTTAGAGATTGTACTTGGTGGGGGGTGGGGGAGAGAGAAGGTATTCCACAGGTACTGCAATTGCTCCAGATCTCAGAACTTAGAGAACTGAGCTACAAAGAGTAGACTGCTACGAATTGATTTTACTTGCAAAACAATCAATTCACTGACTATCTAGCAGGCTTATTTAAACAGTTTCAGCAGTCACAGATCCCGCTAAAGCTTTTATTTTGCACAGAGATTATTCTGTTGCTTTGTGCCTGGGGTTAAAAGCAACATCTCATGGAAAATATTAATAGATGGTCCCACTCCACGCGTGCTGTCACATACCTTACACTTTTACCCTGACTGGATTCTTGCAACCCTCTCACTCCTCCCTGAACCTCTGCAAATAGTCCCTTATAACACCAAATGCCTTTTTGTGGGTTATGGTTTATTCTGTCTTTGAAGGAATTTCTATTATGACAGAATGAATCTTAGAGTAGAATATTACAACCACTGATTTCTTGCACTACCTATGTGTCGTTTCTTCCTTATTTCCTTAATTGCTGGTTCCCTCAACATTGAAGAGAGCCGATCAATTGGGTTAATACTAGAGATTCCTGTGAGCCAGAGTACCATTGATTTGTCAGCAGGAGCAGAATCTTACCTTCCCCAAGTTTTTGGTTCCCTCTTCAACATTCACAGCAGCACTGTTGACATGGTCTGCAATGCTGTCAATCTTCTCCTGCTGAGACTAGATGCAAAGGAATTATGAGTGAGCGTTCCTGCTGGGGAGCAGCAGGGAGCCAACACACACTATTTTAATTCCTGTAATCAGGGCCCCAGGTACTGCAGCCTTGCCATCTTAATAGTGGTTCATTAATAGCATCTGATAAACCATGTTGAAAGGACAAATTCACTTTCATGAAAAAAGGGGGGACTTAATTACTAGGTAATAAAAAAATGTGGCAACTTTATAGCAAAAAGCATCTCATACTAAAATTCATTCAAACGTACAAACACATGAATCTACTTTCCAGGAGAAAAAAATCCAAATAAGCATTTACACATCATGTTGGGTTTAGTGGAAAAAAACAGAAAACAAACCAAAAACCCCACCTCTCTAACTTACCTTCTTTGAAGATTCAATTTATAACAGTCAAGTTTACCTTAGGAGTAAAATGCCCTTGATCCAATAAACACAAATTATTATGTTTTAGGAGTAAGACTATAATATAGTTTGATCTCACCATGAAAATCTTTCCACTTGTGATATATGGTAGGAAGCAGTGAATAAATTAACTGTTCTATGTTTTACAACTGTGTATTTTAATACATTTTTAAAATCATGACAAGTTAAAATGTTTCAGATCAAATATATTAATAAAGGATTCCACATAAAATGGCAACACCTGTGCTGGCACAACAGCCACTGTGACTCATATAATAGAACCTATGAGTAGAAGGAATGTTGAAGTGATCTGCTCAAATGCCTCCAGTGACAAGAATTCATGACATGCTGCAGAAACGCATTCTCATTTTTAAGTAAACTTTACTTAGATAGAATTTACATATGTGTTCATTTTAATAGTAGAGTATGGTTTATATATTTGCTAAAATGCTAAATGCTATATATTTGCTAAAATATATAAACCTATGTGAACAACCATACCAATCAATAAGTGCATATTTTAGTTTTATTTTTGTGATTTGCAGAAAAAACGAGTTATCTCTGATTTCAGATAAATGCCACCATCTACAATAAATGTGAAATACTTCAACGTTAATCCTAAAGTATTTGATTGCCCTTATATGATTGACCTCTTCATTTATATTGAAGTAGACATAAATAACACTCTTCTAATTCCAACTATCATTTCATTTGGGGACATGAAGCCCAAACAACCCAGCTAATTTTTTCCCAGGCTATTTCCTATTAGCATTACTGACATCCCTTCTCTTCTCATATGCCAAATATGTACCTTTTCACTATTAGGCCATTGGTGGTATCTTTTCATTCTAGTATTTTCCACCACCATTTTGACATCTCCTAACATAGCCCCTAAAAAGTCTCTTGTCAGTTTCCTCTGAGTATCTTTGTCAGAGACAAGTGCCACAAAGACTCTCCAACTTCAGCATGCCAGCTTTGCTTCAGAAGAGCACCTTGAGAGATTCTTAAAACACAGAGTGCTGGGCCCTACCCCCAGAGCTTCTGCTTCAGTAGTCCTGAGGTGAAGCTTGATAATTTGCACTGCTAATAAATTCCAGATGATGCTGATACTGCCAGTCCATAATTCTCACAAGAACCACTAAAACGTGTGATTAGATTAAAGACACAACCTTTGATTATATAGTCTGTGTTCAAATCCCAGCACTGCCAACTCTGCTTTTGAACAAATTACTCAAGTTTTCTAGGTGTTGGTATTCTCATCTATCAAATGGGGATAATGATACTTACACCTTCCTAAAGATGAAGTGAGAAAATGAGATGTCTGCAAAGTAAGAGGGGAAAACATGGAAAAACTCATCCTGATCTCTCCAAGAAAGTGATAACTCTCATCTTTCTACCAAAAAATATGTTAAACTTTTCCCTATGCTGCTTGAAAGTTCTAGGGCACTAAAACATTAGATCTTTTCCTAGCATTCAGTTTTTATTTTCCTCAGACATTAAACTTCTTTAATTCACCTTTTTTTCTTTTTCCGACCCACAAAAGCAAAAGTGCCAGCACTAATAATATCCAGCTTGTCTGGATTCCTGACACTCTATCATTGTTTCCATTTGGAACACCCCTAAACCCTTTCTACTCTTGCCTGAAACAGTCTATGCTAGCAGATAAATCACTGGCTTAAAAGTTTACCATCAACCTTCCCATCTTGGTGAGTTGAGGGGCAGAGAAAAATAGCCAGTCTGTCTCCCTTCCCTCAGTCCAAAAATAATTCCAGCAAGAGAGCGGAAACTGCCAGGATTATCACCATTTACATACCCCAAGTGTAATCTCAAGGCCTCAGGAAAATATTTTATAATGCTCCCTCCTAAAAAAGGTTAAATGTTGTAACTTGATGACTCTTTTTTAAGTTAAAATTTTAAAATAATTTTAGTTTTTTTTTTTTTTTTTTTTTTTTCCATTTCCCTTTAATGTTACAGCAGCTGAACTCCTGCTTATTGACCAGGCCATTCATTAACCAATTAGGTTCAAGTGGTAGCCCTTAAGTTGTTGTCAGAAGCTGATAATTATCTCTTGTAAGAATCTAACTTCCTCCTAGCTATTCAAATCTTCTCTCT